CCCTTACAATCACTTAACATGGAGGTCCAGGGCCGCTTTACTCACCTAAGGTATAGTTTCCCAGCAAAAAAAAAAAAAATCACCTTAGGCTGAGTTTCTGGGTTCCTCTCGATTACCTAAGCTTAAGTGTCGTGGGCCCCTACAATAAGCTAACGCTGAGGCTCCTGGGTATTCAAAATCACATAACAGATATTCTTGGGCCCCCCATGATCATCTAAGGTCAAGTTTCCAAGGCTCCCCCAATCACCTACCATTAAGAGTCATGGACCTCACAATTACCCAAAGTTGAGAGTTCATGTATAGGAATCACCTCAGGTCTTTCCTAGGCTCCCACAATCACCTTTCCTGATCCACAATCACCTATGGTTGAGTTTCTTGGCCCACACTATCACCTAATGTAGAATTTTCTGGCCTCATACAATCACCTAAGGTAGAGCTTCCAGAGCCCCACAGTCACCTAAGGAGGACTATTCTGGCCCCCACATTCATCTAACTTCAAAACCCCTTGGCCCAAACACCTAAGATTGAGTCTTCTTGCCCCACACAATCACCTAACATAGAGATTCCTGGCCCATTACCATCACATAAGATAGAGCTTCCATGGCCACCACAATCACCTAAGAGTTTCATAGGCCCCAACAGTAACCTAAATTTCAGTTTCCTGGGTCCCCAAACCACTTAAGGTAGAGATTCCAGGGCATGTAATCACATAAGGTAGAGTTTTCCAGGACCAAAATCACCTACGAGAGTTTCCTGTACCCCCCAAATCATAAAAGGTAGACTCTACTGGCCCCCACAATTAACTAAGGTAAACTATCCTGGCCTCCCACAATCAACTAAAGTCAAGAAACCTGAAGCCCAAGGATGAGTACCTGCCCCCCTCCCATAATCACCTAAGGGTTGATTCATGGTCTCCAACAATCACCTAAGGTCGAGATTGATTCATGGGCACCAAAATCAGCTAGGGTCGAGTTTCCTGGCCAGCAATAACCATATGAAGAGTTTCCTGGGCCCCCACAATCATGTAAAGTAGTTTCCAGGTACTCACAATCAACTAAGGCAGAATTTCCATAAAAGTCATTATGAGTTTTCTGGGCCCAACAATCACATAAGGTAGAGAAACCACAATCCTAAGGTAGAGTTTCTATTGCCCCCAAAATAACAAGGTAAAATTTTCTGGCCCCCCACAATCAACTAAAGTAAGCTATCATGGCCCCGACAATTATCTAATATTGAGTGACCTAGGGCCCCTCAATCTCCTAAGGGCAAGTTTCATGGTTCCTTATAATTGAATAGGACAAGTTTCCTTGGCCTCCATAATCAGCTGAGTTCAATTTCCTGGCCCAACAATCACCTAGGAAGTGTTGCTTGGCTCCCCACAATAACTAAATGCAGAATTCCCTGGCCCCACAAAAATCACCTGTTTTCTGGGCCCCTACAATCACCTAATGAATGGTTTCCTGAACCCTTACAATCAGCCAGTGTAGATTTTCCTGTGCCCCTACAATCACCTAAGATTGCTTTTCCTAGGCCCCCTCAATCATTAAGGTTGAGTTTCCTAGGCACCCACAATCATCTAAGGTAGAGATTCCTGGCCCCCCACCATCATGTAAGGTATAGTTTCCAGGAACCCCCAATCACCTGAGGTCAAGATTCATGAGGCTCCACAATCACCGAAAGTAGACATAACTGTGTGTCTACAATCATCTAAGGCAGACTATCCTGGCTCCCCACAATCCACTAGTCTATCCCAGGTCCTCACCATCAACTAAGGTCAAGCTAACTGGACCCCCACAATCACATAAGGAAGAGATTCCTGGCCCACCACAATCACCTAAGATAGACATTCCTGGGCTCCACAATCACCTAAGTTCAAATTTCCTGGGTCCCCACAATCATAACTTAGTGTTTTCAGGCCCCAAAATCATCTAAGAAAGTGTTTTGGGATCACTCCAATCACCTAAGGTTGAGTTTTCTGGGCCCACAATCACCTATACTTGAATTACCTAGGCCCCACAATCACCGAGGGTCAATTTCCTGGACCCTCACAATCACGTAAGGTAGATTATCGTGGCCCCCCATAGTCAACTAAGGTTGAGTTTCTTGAGACCCCACAATCAAGTAAGGAAGAATTTCCTGGGCTCACAATCACCTAAGGTAAACTCTTGTGCCCCCCCCCAAATAACTTAAGGTCAACTATTCTGGGTCCCCACAATCATCTAAGTTCGAGGTTCCTGATCTCCCACAATTACCTAAAGGTAAATTTTCCAGTGCCCACAGTCATCTAAAGGTAGAGTCATGGGCCCCCACAATCACCTCGGTAAAATTTGTATATTTAAACAGTCTTTATGTGAAGTGTTTGCACCTCTTTTACCTGATTGTGTTATAGAGATGGACACTATCTCCTACTCGGAAATGTTTCCCCACCTAACACTGTGAAACAGAAGGCATGTAAATTGCCCCTCAAGCTATGTTAATTAGACATGCTAAACAGGAACCAGTAAGATTGTGCAAGGCCACACAGTGTAAAACAGCTGAAATGCTGGTAGGGACAGATGCCCTATGTGGAGCCTGGACTAGGGCTTACGGCAAAAGCCCGTGTGTGCCTCCCAGAGATGATTACTGGGACCTAGAGGATTTGCGCTTGAGAGGCATTTACTACCTTGCTATCAGACATTAATTGAAACTACCCTGATGACTAAAGGAAATAAAGTGATCTGAAGACCTGAAATACCCATACTGTCGAGGATGATGTCAGAGAAATGCTCTAGTGGGGATGGCAGTGCCCAGAAGAGTTCCATAATAAAATGGAAATAATTTATACAGGATCTTGCTGCCTGGGGAATGCAAGGAGGAGATACTCACAGGGAGTCTCTTTTCCCCTAGGATGGACTCTGGAACTGTGTGAAGAGCTGCTGGGTTCTATTGGCTCTTGGGCAGTGCGCTATATAAACAGCTATTGGCTCTTGGGCAGCACGCTATATAAACAGCTCCCAGCTGACCAAGAAAGAGCTGCTTGGTCTGTGGGTGGCAGTTCCACAGTGAATAGACAACATCCTGTTTGGAAAGCTGCTGCATTAGGACCAGAGGATAGAAAGACACTGACTGAAGAAGGTAAAAACAAATCCACTCAGTGGACTTATTTGCATGCTGTTTTCCTGGCAGTGATGGAAGATTTGAACAGTGGAAAAAGCCATTCTGGGTTTTTGCAGACTCCTGGGCAGTGGCCAATGGCTTGGCCATATGGTCAGGTAGAAGGGCAATGGAAACCTGGCCTATTACAGGGATGCCCATATGGGGGCCCAGCCCTGTGGAAATCACTATGGAAATTTGAGGGGTGCATTAAAGTAGGACATGTGGATGCCTATCAGAAGAACCCCCTTCCAGGTTCAGGAGGTGATTGGAATTGACAAGCAGCTATCCCAGTGTGCTTGCTTAAGGTGGCCACCTGGTTCCATGAAATGAGTGGACATGGGGTACTGCAGCAATGCAGAGATGAGCTAAATCTAGACATAGTCCTCTTGCACTTTCTGAGGCACAAAATGCCAATAAGAACTGATCTGTCTGTCCTCAAAGGAGATAGAAGCTACAGATGGGCATCAGGGTTCCCTGGTGGGGGCCCTGATCATAGCTGGCAAGTGAGGCTGATGCTGGTAGCCCTGAGGAGCTACACGTGGGTCCTAACTAGAATAGACAATGACTCTGGACTGGGCTTTGCTTAACCAGTAGTAGAAGCAAATGCTCAAATATTATAAAAGAATTGGGACAAAAGATATTGCACCAATTTGTACAGCAAACCACCATTTCTTCAGACCAAGGAACACACTTTACAGCCAACATTGTCCAACAAAGAGCAGGGAGATATTCTCAGGGTACTAGTTTGGTAGAGAATTGGAACAGGCAATTGAAATGCTGGTTGTCTGAAATGGAGGGAAATAAAGGCACGAAGGTCTGGCTTACCTTCATGAGTGGGTGCTCACACTCAACATGAGTAGGACTAAAGGAGTGTTCCCACTGGACAGATTCCTCTATTTCTGGTGTGGATCTGGGGAAAAGGCAGTGCTGATATAATTGTCTTCTTGCCCAGCGAGGAGGATATTGGTATAACTGTACTTATTTTTTTCCTTTCTTCCCCACATCACCTCAACTATTTTGTTTGCTCTAGCTGATGCAGTGGTCATGTGACTAGGGCTACAACTACAAGGGCTAGAAATAGGGCTGATTCCTAAGCAAGAAGTTACAACTGTTTTTAAACATTATGTCAGAATCCCTAAGGGCCTAATGGAGCAGGATGTGCCTTCGCCCATCTGGAAAATGGGGCTCACAGCGCATGCAGCTATATTGCCTGGTGGCAAAGATAGCCCCCTAGTTCTGCACCTGTATACTCTTACCTTTCTGAATGGAAGTGGACTGAGGGGGAGGTACTTGCTAGACTAGTATTGCTGTCTGCAATGTAGACCAGCACAGTGGCCAAATATAATGTCACTTCCAAAGGTGAAAAGGTGTGGGTATAAATGGAGACGAAGAAAAATAGTAGTTAAGGGTAAAAGAATGAAAAATGGGTTCCGTCATAAGGGCAATGCAATATTACATTAATACCAGATGCCTGAAAGGGTGAAACCATGTGTTTGCTGAGACCACTCCTACATGCGGAATCTGACAAGATTGAATAGAAGCCTACAAACTTGAATGGCCTCTCCCTGAGAGACATTTTTCATAATGACTGCATGGGATTCTTGTAATGTGCCAATATGTTTTGACTTGTGTATCATTTTGCTATAAGGGTCTGTAGCCAGAGACCAGGGGGTGGGCTGTGAGATAATAGAAAATATACATTGGCCTCAGCCTCCAGTTCCTGGCAAAGAGCTTTGAAATCCTTGTGATTTTCTAAGTGAAAAGAGCACTAGGAGCATCTTTTATTCTAATATTTGGGTTTTGTGATATTTTGATTTATAATAAATACATATTTGGTCTTCATCCCCAGTTCTGGCACAGAGCTCCCTAAACCCTTGGAATTTCCTAAGTGTTGAAAGTGATGGAGGTGTCTTTGGTTAAGTTAATGAAATGACTGTTGGAAAGCACCTAAGGCTAGGGGCTGGTTGTCAGTAGGAGCCAAACAATGTGATTAGAGGATTGGAACTTTCAGTCCCACCCCTTGATTTCCAGGGAGGGGAGGTAGACTCAATCACCAATGGCCAACAATTTATGACTAAGTAATGAAGCCGCCATAAAAACCCAAAAGGACAGCTCATTGACCTTTTTACAGAGAGCGTCTGCGTTGGGGAACCAGAAAGCTTCCATGTGCCGTCATGCTGGCCCCGAGCTCCACAAGAATAGGAGCTTCTTCATTTGAGACCTCTCCCTATGTATTTCTTCATTTGGCTGTTTATTTGTATCCTTTAATATTCTTTGTAATAAATCAGTAATCTAGTGAGTACACAGGGGTTTTTGAGTTCTGTGAACTGTTCTAGCAAATTAATCAAACCCAAACAGGGGGTTGTGGGAACCTAGGATTTGTAGGCTGTAGATCAGAAGCACAGGTAAAAACCTGGGCTTGGGATTGGCATCTGAAGTGGAGACTTGGCCTCTTGTGGGACTGAGACCCTTACCTATGGAATCTGATTTTGTCTCTAGATAGGGTCAGAATTGAGGTGAATTCTTGGACACCCTGCTGATTTCCAAGAATTGATTGCAGGTGTACACACACACACACACACACACACACACACACATACACAAATTAAGTTCAGGAACCCCTTTTCAGTCTTTGATCCCAGTTTCTGACACTGGTTTCCTGAAACTCTTGTAATTTCCTGGGCAATAGTAGTATTTTTTGTTTTAATGAGATGACTGGGTTGGCTGCTGGATGAGGGCTGGTCACTGGAAAGACCAGGCTTAGAATTTTCAGCCCCTCCCCATTCTCTTGAGAAAGGAGAAGGGCTGAAAATGAAATTAATGATCCATCATGCCTCCCTACAATTCCAAAAGTATGGGGTTTGGAGAGGTTCTGGGTTGGGTGAACACGGAGGTGCTGGGCGCGTGGCACTCCCATGGAGGGCATGGAAGCTCCGCACCCCTTCCCACATACCTTGCCCGACACATCTCTCCCAACTGGATATTCATCTGTATCCTTTATCATATCCTTTAATAAACCTAAGTAAGTGTTTTCCTGAGTATGTGAGCTGCTGTAGCAAATTAATCAAACCCAAGAAGGGGGTTATTGGAACCTGTGATCTATAACTGGTTGTCAGAAGTATAGGTGATAACTTGGGCTTGCAATTGGCATCTGAAGTGGGGGGTGGGTGACACAGTCTTGTGGGACTAAGCCCTTAACCTGAGAAATCTGACACTATCTCTGCGTACAGTGTCAGAATTCAATTAAATTCTAGGACACCCAACTGATGTTGCACAGAATTGTTTGATATGGAGAAAACCTCCACACATTTGGAGACTAGAAGAGTCAGAAGTGAAATGTGCTGTGTGAGAAGTAAAGGGGACACAGGTAAAAAAGACATAGTATGGAAGAACTGGGTTTTAGGAAGGAAAAAAAATGAGGTTTTTCCAACACAGGTTTCCCCTACTGTTGGAAAGTAGAGCCTTTAAAACCTTTCATATGTCAAAATGACATAAAGCCAAAAAGCAATTACCTTAGAAGACATCTTACTAACAGATGCACAAAGTAAATGGAGATACAGCAGATGCTCACAGACACAGTTCAAAGCTCTGGCTGCTTGATGCTGAGTGTAGTTCCTGGAGAAGGAGTTTGGTGGTGCCACGCTCACTGCTCAGGGTGCACAACAGCTCACTGCAAAACAAACACTGAATGCTATTATCACTTTCTGCCTTTTTTTTTGGTAAAAGCAAAATCCTTTTCGGATTTCTTTCAGTTAGCAAAAACAGGCACTAATGTAGGTCTTTCATAAAAGTAAATTGATGTCGGGATGTAAAGTACAACATGGGGAATAGAGTCAATGGTATTGTGATAGCTATGTATGATGTCAGAGGGATAGTCGACTTGGGGGGGGTGGTTATCACTTTGTGAGGGGTGTAAATGTCTAATCATTGTTGTTTTATACACCTGAAACTAATATAAAATGTTTTAAAAGTAAAGTGATGTAAGCAAACTTTCAGAAATGGGGGTACCTATATACTCCTACAGGACCTACAGTAGAATTTCGTGGCCCCCACAATTACAAGAGGTCCACATTCCTGGGTCCCCATAATCACCTAAGGTCGAGTCTCCTGACCCCCCCACAATCACCTAAGGTAGATATTACCTACCCCCCCAATCACCAAAAGTAGAGTTTCTAGGCTCTACAATCTCCTAGGGTTGAGATTCATGGTTCTCAACAATCATCTAAAGTGGAATTTCTTTGACACCCACAATCACCTAAGGTAGAGTTTCAGAAGAAACGACAATCACCTAAGGTCAAGTTCATAGGACCTGGCATTCATATAAGGCAGTTTCCTGGCCCCCCAAAAATACCTACAGTAGAGTTCCTGGCCCACCATAATCACCTAGGTAGATTCTTCTGGCCCCCCACATTCACCTAAGACCAAGTTTCCTTGGCGTAAGGTCATGTTTCCAGGGCCCACAATCACCAGAGGTTGAAGATCCTGGGCTACCAAAATCAACTAGGGTTGAGTTTATTGTCCCCCCACAATCACCAAAGTAGACATTCTTGGCCCCCTTATCACCTAAAGTTGAGCTTCCAAGACCCCACAATCACCTGAGCTCAAGTTCCTAGGCTCCCACCATCACCTAAGGTCGAGTTTACTGGACCCACAATCACCTTAGGTAGAGTTTCTTGGGACCCACAATCAACAAAGGTAGAGTTTCCTGGTCGCCCTAAAATCACCAGTGTAGAGATTTCTGGGCCCACAATTACCTAAGACTTTTGAGGGTCCACAATCACCTAAGGTCGACATTCCTGGGCCCCCACAATCACCTAAGGTCAAATACGCTGGCCCTCAGTAATCACGTAAGGAAGATATTTCTTGCTCCCCATAATCATCTACTTTAGGTGATTATGGGGGGCAAGAAATCAGCTTAGGTAGAGTTTTCTGGATTCACAATCACCTAAGATAGACTTTCATGGGCTCACAATAACCTTAGGTAGACTTCCTTAGACCCATAATCACCTAAGTAGAGTTTCCTAGACCCACAATCACCTAGGGTCTAGTTTTGTGTATCCCAACAATTGCCTAAGTTTGTTGCCTGGGCCCCATAATTACCTAATGTACAGTTTCTTGCATCCCCACAGTCACCTAATGTAGAATTTCCTGAGCCCACAATCAGCTATGATAGAGTTTCCTGAGCTCACAATCAGCTATGATAGGGTTTCCTGGGCCCCCACAATTATCTAAAGTATTATTTCCTAAGACCCCACAATCACCTATGGTCGAGTTTCCTGGGTCTCCACAAGCACATAAGGTAGAATTTCCTGTCCACCAATGATCTCCTAATATAGAGTTGCCTGAGTCATCTAGAGTCTGCACAGTCATCTAAGGTAGAGTCTTCTGGGCTCCCTCGAGTCTCCTGGACCCACAAATACCTAAGGTTGAGTCTTCTGGGCCCCAAATCACCTACAGTCAAGTGTTCTGAGCCCACAATCACCTTAGGTAGAGTTTCCTGGGCCCTCACAATCACCTAAGCTAAAGTATCTGCCCCTTAAAGCATTTAAGGTAGACTTACTAGGCACCCACATTCAGCTAAGCTAGACTTTCCTCGGTCCCCACAATCACCTAAGCTAGAGTTTCCTTGGCCCCCACAGAGACCTAAGTAAGAAATCCCTAAGGCCCCCACAATCACCAAATTAGACTATCCTTAAACCCTACAATAATCTATGGTAGTTTTCTGGGCCCCCTCAATTATCTAATGTAGGGATTCCTGGACCCCCCACATTCACCTAAGGTAGAATTTCCAGGGCCCCTATAATCACATAAGGTAGAGTAGCTTGGCCCCACAATCACCTATGTCAAGTTTACTGGACAACCAAAATCATCTAATGGTAATTTTCTGGCCCCCACAATTAGATAAGAGAAATTCCTCATACCCCAAAATCACCTAATAGAAAGTTTCCTGGGCTACACAAATCACCTAAGGTCAAGATTCATGGGACCGCACAATCACCTAATGTAGAGCTTCCTGTACCCACAATCATCTTTGGTAGAGTTCCCCCTACCTCCCATAGTCACCTAATGTAGACTTTCCCCGGTACACAGTCACCTAAAATGGAGTTTCCTGGGTCCACAATCACCTAAGGTAGAGATTCCTGGGACCACAATCAACAATAGTCAACTAAAGCTGAGCTTCCTAGGCCCAAATCATCAAAGTTTGGGTTTCTGGGACCACAATCACTTTAGGTAGAGTGTCTTGCTCCCCCCATCCCACCCACCCACCTTATGTAGAATGTCCTGAGACCCTACAATCATCTAGAGTCCCTGGGACCCCACAAGCACACAAAGTAGACTTTCCTGGGTCTCCAAATTAGCTAAGCTAGAGTTTCCTGGTCCCAAAAAAATCATATCAAGTAGAGTTTCCTGGACCCACAATCACCTAAGTCAAGATTCACGGGCCCCCACAGTCTCCTAAAGTCGAGAGTCCTAGGTCTCCACATCTCCCTAGGTACAGTGTCCTGGACCCAAACAGTCATCTAAGGTGTAGTTTCCTGGGCCCACAATCACTTAACATAGCATTTCCCGGGCTTAAACCCACCTAATTTAGAATTCCTTAGGCCCCACAAATACCTAAATTAGACTATCCTGGCCCAAACAATCATCTAAGATAGGTTCCCTAGGTCCCCACAATTACCTAAGATAAGAGTCCCTGGCCATACAGTCACCCAAACTATACTATCCTGGCCCCCAACAGTCAACAAAGATAGAATTCCCAGGCCCCCACAATCACAAAAGGTAAAGTTTCCTTGGCCTCACAATCAACTAAAGTAGAGATTCCTGGGCCCCCACAATCACCTAATAGAGTTTCCAGGGTCCAGCAATCACCTAAAGTTGAATATCCTGGGCCACTGCAATTACCTAAGGTCGAGTTTCCACCCCACAATCACCTAATAGAGTTTCCAGGGTCCAGCAATCACCTAAAGTTGAATATCCTGGGCCACTGCAATTACCTAAGGTCGAGTTTCCAACCCACAATCTCCTAAGGTTAAAATTCATGTGTCCTCACAATCACCTTGGGTGGAGTTTCCTGTGCCCCAAAATCACCTTAAGTAGAGAATCCAGGGCGCCACAATCACGTAAGCTAGAGTTTCCTGGTCCTCCACAAGCACACAAAGTAGACTTTCCTGGGCTATCACACCAGCTAAGCTAGAGTTTCCTGGCCCCTTACAAACACCTAAGGTAGTTTTCCTGGGCCCACAGTCACCTTAGGTAGGCTTTCATAGGCCCCCACAATCAACAGAAGTAGAGTTTCCTGGGCTCCCACAATCACCTAAAGTAGTTTCCTGGCCCCACTATCAAGGTAAGTTTCTTAAGCCCCTCAAAATACCTAAGGTAGAGCCTCCTCCCCACATCTCCTAAGGTAGTGTTTCCTGGGGCCCCACAATTACCAAAGGTAAGCGTTCCTACTAGGAAACGGGCTCAGACTTGGCTGGAGCTGGCACATCAATTCATTAAGATTAGAAGCTGTCACATAACTCCTCTTGGGGAAGCTTTGAACCAATGCCCAAGGCCTTTCATCTCCCCTGACGTTCTGATGTGGTTGGTCTGCATGCCAGCGACAGCATCCCCAGGTGATTCTAACAGGCAGCCAGAATTAAATACTGATCTACACCCCCATTAATAACTCTTAATGCACCTCCAAGAGTCACCAAACATTGAAAGAAAACTAACTGCATGGGAGAAGTAACACACTCAGCAGAGGCCAAGGAAGCAGCAGCAAAGAAGAAACTAGAATAAAACTTGGAAGTAGACAATAATAATTCAGATTTGGAAGGATCTACAGCCATTAAAAATCTTTGTGTGATAGAAGTTCTTGCAAATAAAAAATATTACTGAAATAAATTTGCTGGGTATTTTATAACTTTTTTGAAAAGTTAACTTTTAAGGTTTTTCCACTTTTTGCAATTTTTAGATAAAATTCACCATTTTAAGTATTTTAAACTGTACACATCAGTGGTTTTTAGTATATTTCAAAATATTGTGCCACCATCACCATTTTCTAATTTCTGACATTTCCATCACCTCAAGAAGAAACCATTAGGCAGTTGCTTCCCATTTTCCCTCTCCCAGTTCCTGGCAACCATTAATCTGCTTTCTATCTCTATGAATGTCTTTTCTGGACATTTTGTATAAATGGAATCAAACAAGTGGCTTTTGTGTCTGGCTTCTTTCACTCAGCACAATGTTTCAAGGTTTATCCATGTATAGCACTTCATTCCTTTTTATGGTTGAATAATACTCCATCTACTGTATGGATAGACCATACTTTGTTGAGCCATTCATCTGTTGACGGACATTTGGGTTGTTTGCACTTTTGGGATATGAGGAATAATGCTGCCACATACGTTCTTTTACAAGGTGTTTGTGTGAACGTATATTTTCAGTTCTCTTGGGTGCATTCCTAGGAGTTGAATTACTGGGTCATATGGTGGTAGTTCTATGTTTAACATTTTGAGGAACTACAAACTGTTTACAACAGTGGTTGTTAGTTCACCTTCCTTCCCATCAGCAACATATGAGGGTTCCAACCTCTGCTTTTAAGCCTTAGGGTCGGTCGTCAGCCGCTGTCGTCTTCCCTCCTTCCCGCACAGAGCAAAGATGCTTCTGTTAATCCACAACACTCAGCCACTTCTCCCCAAGGCCTCCACCCTGATTTGTCTGCCATTCAGCTGCCATTACAAGCTCTGCTCAAGGAGCTACCAAAGTGTGTCAGTTTACATTTCTCAGCCATACCTCTTCTAATATAATTGAAATTCAAAGGAACTGACAATGTGGGTGACCACAGTTGATAAAAACCCTGAGACAGAGCACTATGGCCTCTATTTGGTTAGGCATGCACTTGGGAATATGTTTATGACTTACCAACTGCAGCTCTCTAAGTCTGATTGCCAGTTTAATGAGGCATCCCCAATTTGAACACCCAGACCATGACTTCCTCTGCAATGCTGACATCACAGAGCTGCACTTGAACGTCCTTCCTGACCTCCCACTGAGGCCCAAGGCTTTGTAAAGCAGCCACTCAGCACTGCTCATCACATTACTCTCCGCCCCTCACACAGGTGTGCTCTGACCACGGTGCAAACGTCTTCCCAATTGCTGGCCCCGTGTACCTCAGCCCCAGGTGGGAAGCCATTTACCTACCACTACATGTTGAGATAGCCATGCACATGAGGCCAGAGATGTGTGTTAACGCTGGGGCACTCTAGGCCCCACCAGGCCCCATGTGTTTTCCAAAATGAGAGGCAGCAAAGATGAGCTGAGAAGGGAGGGTTGAATAAAGGAGGAAAGAGAAGGCAGGAAGGGGGACCATTTGCCACCACTACTACCTCCACCTTCTACCACCTCCCAGCAGGCCTCCTGGCATTTTTTCCGGAGTTCCTTCTGCCCTGTGGATGTCCTGTGCTGGCATGAGCCTTCTATCTTGAATTCTGACTCATTATAACTACCTGAAGTCCTTCATACAAACACCTCAGCGATGATAATATGCACAAAGCACTTAGAACGCTGCTATTATATCTCCATTCCTGATCCTAGGGCCAGCGCAGAGAGATCGAGTAATGCCTAAAGAGAAGGGAGTTTATGTTTCAGGGAGGTGGGACTCTCCAATTTACTTACGAGGCAGTTTCCATCCTATGCCTGGAATAAGGGCACCCCGTAAATGCTGAAACTGTATCCTAAGAATTGGGACTCAATGAGGCCATTGCCCTTGACTCGGATTATAATAATAGTGACCTTGATTTCCTAAAACAGCCCTGGATATCCTGGCATGGTCTTGCCTCCAAGTGTTGTCTGCATTTGCTTTCTGAAGAATGCCAAATAAGGAGGATGTTTCTGTTGACCTAATGCTTGTCCATAAAATGTGTTTTTAAAAATAGGACGCAGGGGCTGGCCCAGTGGCTCAGTTGGTTAAGAATGCAAGCTCAGAGCAGCAGGGTTGCCGGTTCGGTTCCCACATGGGTCAGTGAGCTGCATCTGAGCTGAGCTGCCGCTGAGCTGCCAGCGGGTGGGGTGGCAGGATGGCTCAGCTGGTGAGAGTGCGTGCTCCTAGCAACAAGGTTGCCGGCTGGACTCCCACATGGGATCGGGAGCTGCACACACACCCCCCAACTAAGATTGAACACCACACCTTGAGCTGAACTACCACAAGCTGCTGACGGACAGCCGGATGGCTCAGTGGTTAGAGCATGCGCTCTTAACAACAAGGTTGCTGGTTTGACTCCCACATCGATGGTGGGCTGTGTCCCCCCGCAACTAAGATTGAACACCATGCCTTGTGCTGAGCGGCTGCAAGCTGCTGACAGCCGATAGCGACTGGACTTGGAGCTGAGTTAGCTGCGCCCTCCACAACTAGGGTTGAAGAACAACAACTTGGCTATTCCCCTTCCCCAATTCCCCAACACTGTTCCCCTCCCTCAATCCCCAATAAAATCTTAAAATAAATAAATAAAAATAGGACGCAGACCTATTTGATGAATCAGGAAGTCAGCCTGCCTCCAAAACTAGTAAAAGGTGGCCTGTCAGCACAAAGAGAAGTGCAAATTTGTCCAGCAGTTTGCACTTATCCTCTGCTAAAAGTCATTATTTTGAAGGCTTAATTTTATGTTTGTATTTTCAGGGGTCACTGGCCAACTTTTACTCTAATCACTTGATAAAGAAGATATTTTCCAGCATTTTGTTTTCAGGAGTAGTTGAAAAATGCAAGTAAAAAGGATAAAATAGATAAAGTGACCAAACACAACCTTTATGCTGTGTTTGGACCACGGAGGCCACTGCTCTCCTGACGTTAAGACTATAGTGACACTGACCTTGACTTTTCCATACAGCCTAGATACGCTGGTCCAGTCCCGCCTCCATGCTGAGTATGCATGTCAGCCTCCATTTGTATCTTCCACATTGCCGCCTCCTTCTTCTGGAAGTGGGGCCAAACTCCTCATTAGATCCTGGGCCACTGGTTAAGTATCCTGTGAGCTGCATTTAAAGAAAAGAGGGTACATTTTAAAATATGTTCCTCAGGCTGTCATTAGACCATGGTTCTCAATCTTGATGCACGCTATAACCACCTGAAGTACTTTTAAATCTAGGGATGCCTCTGCTGGCTCTGAAGATTCGATTTGATTGGCTTAAGTGGGACATGGCCTGAGCAGGTTCTGAAAGTTCCGCTAGTGATTCAAAGGTCCAACCAGAGTTGTGTAGCTAGGGCTGAGAACCACTGCACTAAATGAGTACCTAATAGTTAACCTTTCATGATAATGCAGTTCATTTGAGCTCAATCAAGTTAATTGACCCAGTTAAGATTTCAATTAAACCTTAAGATAATTAAAATAACATGTCCACTTGAATTAGGTGTCAGCTTTCTTTTTCTTTTTTGACTTTTTTTTTTTTTTAAGATTTTTATTGGGGAATTGGGGGATGGGAACAGTGCTGGGCAATTGGGGGAAGGGGAACAGACAAGTTGCTGTCGTTTTTGTTCTTCAGTCTAGTTGTGGAGGACGTTGCTTCACTGGCCCAAGTTGGCACCATCATTGCGCTCTTCCCGGTTGAGGCAGATCAGTCGCCGGCTTCTGGACGGCCGCTCACTGCGGCTGCTGGCCGCTCATGCTGGCTGCTGGCCGCTCATGCTGGCTGCTGGCCACATGCAGTAGCCCATGGCAACCCACTGCAGCAGGGGCTGCAGCCTACACCATCACCGCCGACTCACGGCAGCCCAGCTCCAGGTTGAGCTGTTGTTCAGCATCTTAGCTGTAGAGGGTAGTGTCACTGGCCCTCATATGTGGGATCTGAACCGGGGCCCTCTGGCGTCCCAAGCCAGTTCTTAACCATCGAGCCACTCGGCAGGCCCTGACTTTTTTTTTAAGTTATACACAAGAGTCCAGATAGTTCAATAAGATCTGTTACAAAAACAACAGTTCCTGGCCCCTCCCTTCCCATTTCCCAGCCCCAGAGACAACTTCATTTGATTCTTTTGGTATTCGCCTCTGTATCTTTAAATAGAATGCTTGGATGACTATTTCTTGATTTTCAGTTTGGAATATTACCTATTGTCTTTACACCACAATAGATGAAGATTTCTTTCTTTCATCCCCCATCTGCCACACTCAGATTTGTCCCCCTCCCCAACCCAATATAGGTATATCATAATTTTGCTTAAATCAATAATCATTTTTTTACATTATTATGATTTTGTATACCATCCAGAGCTGAGTAATGTAACAAACTATGATTACTTCTCCTTTCTTGTACATTTTTACCTCAAGTTAATCATTGCCTTAATTTTTCACCTGATTCGTTTTTATTAGCTTCCTGCGAACTTTTCAGCAATCCATCCTTGAATTCTCCACCAGGTGTTTAAATCTCTTCTCCAGGCATTTAGTCACATCAAGTATTTTATAAATTTCATCTTCCTAAAGAACTGTCTCCCAGAGCCTTCTGACCTGCTTAAATCCGGGCTGGTTGTCCTCTGTGCCTGATACACAGTTGTCATCCTCCAATATTATCCCTTTGGTGTCATCATCCTGGGATTCCCTTTGCTTTTTTCCCCTGTTGGAGCTCCTGTTTTTGTACCCCTGCCTTTTTTTTCTTTTGGTTTACTCATTTTGCTGAAATGAAAGAGCATGTAAAACCCTACCCACACAAAACCACATTTTCTCTTCGCGAGCTTAGAGAATTCTAGTATTTGAACAGTAAGGGGTGGCATTCGTTAAAAGCAGCAACAGAGGGAAAGGTCTGTCGGGGGAACACTTAGTGTTATCTAAAATACAGGCAAATCCATTTTTGTTTCTTGTCTGTTGTATATTTTGAACCAAAATAATAATTACCCTGAAATCCATGTTCCCAAGGTGATGGAATCAGCACTTTAACAGGGAGAAAATAATGGCCTAAAAAATAAAGCTCATTTCATTCTAAGAACCAGACATTGAAGCTTTCTAGAAACAAATGCATTTCAGCATGATTGTAATTATATGTTTCCATCACCCAAAAAATCAAGCAGCTAAAGCAAGAGTAAATTTGATTTAAAACATATATATTAAGCACCAATTGCACATCCAGAAAATGCCCACTTTGGCTATGAAATTGGTTTCCTGCTGAAGTCAGGCAGGGTCAGATTAAGGGGGGCCATCATCCACCACGGGATCCTGTGAACCTTTCAGAACTGGTGTCTCCCCCACTGGACACAGACCAGCTATTCAATGGGAGAAGACTATTTCTCAGAAAAGAGAAGTTAGGTTTACTGTGGTTTGACAGCTCTGACCACAGTCTTTCCCGCAGCTGTTTATATCTTTAAAGCGCTTTCCAGTAACTGTAAGCAGCCCTCAGAGTTGGCAATTTTCCTAGGACGCCTGCGACCACAGACACCCTTCTGCTGAGACCCAGGGCCGGCTCCACCAGGTGGAAGGTGGACTGGGAAAAGAGGGAGCCAAAAGATAGCAAGTGACATTGTAGTGAGGGAGGGAGAGGGTACCTCACGGTCTGAGAGCAGTCGAGTGACCAGGTGCAGGTTGAGCCACAGGGTGGAGCATGCCAGGCATCTACTCGCCCTGAGGAGGGCACTCAGGGATAGCCCTGCTCCCCGCTGGTGTCCCAACACGACCTCCTCATGGGCACTGAAGAGAGAGAAGAGGTTGTCAAACAGTAATTCTTCATACTCCTGGCTCCTCTCTTCATCGGGGGTCAGTTAACTCACCCTCGGCTGTTGCTTCAAGGGGTCCCCTTGTGGTGAGGTGGCGCCATCCCTTGTCCCTAGGAGCGCTGGACATGCTGAGGCCGGAAGGTTGCCTTTGTCTCTAGACTCACAGAATTGGTCTTCTGGGGACCAAGGGTGCTTGGTTTGCCTCCTTTCTGGTCCAAGAGGAGAGAAGAAGGGAGCACAGAGGTGCATGCACCCCATGATTGCCAGTGTGGTTCCTCTGACTTACCTTCTTTTGAATAGAATTGATTTTCTCTCTCATCCGTAGCTCTTTACCTCGTGAAGATAGATTTTTCAATTACTTACTCATTTAATGCTATGTAAAATTAGGTCCCTGCAATCTTTTTACAACTTGGTCTTTTTAGACTCAAAGTCAACTCCTAGACTAAATAACAATATGTTTTTAAAATGTATTTTAAATAATATTAGGATGTGTAAATAATTGATAATACTTCAATTCCATGTAGCCATTTTAAATTAAAATTATGATTTTACAACTCCTACTGGAGGGAATAGAAATTGGCACAGCTACTTTTTATTTTATTATTTTTAGATTTTTATTGACAATTTCAAGACTACAAATTTAAAGAAAATGATGTAATGAATCCTCACATCCTCAATATTCAGCCTTAACAATTGTCACCTACCAGCCAATCTTGTTTCATCTATACCCTCCCTACACCCTAACTCTTCTTATAATCAAATCCCAGGCTCTCCATGCAGGCTCCCAAGTTCTTTGACATGAACATAGGAGTCTTCAAGTGGTCCTGCTTTCTGGTATGACAAGACGTTCCAGGTGCATCCAACAGCAGTCCCAGTGGAATCAGCCTTCTCCTTTAAATAAGAAATCATATTTAGAGACCACTAGCTGGGTTCCTGGAGTGCCGTTGCTCCTGAGCTGGTCACTGTTTCTAGGTTTCAATGCCCACTTTGGTGTTCTTTAGTAGACATTTGGACTCATAACTACAATAAGCCACTTGGCCTTGACTTCACTGAGAATGAGGATATAAAGGCAGGACACATAGAGAAGGCAGTCACAGGCATGTCTCTAGGCAGCCTCCACCACCATTGGGCTGCCAGATAAAACACAGGATGTCCAAGTAAACTCATTGTTTCAGACAAACAATGAATAAAAGCTTCATATCCCAATTAGGAAACAATATCTCTAGCAACAATTTTATTGGACTAGCTTGCTTCCATGTCCCTTCCAGGGACGTGTCCAGTTCCAAGAGTCATCGTTCTCAGGGAGCTCCAAAGCCACAGCTTCCCGCCAGGTCTTTCTCATTTACTCACTGTTCTCACTGACCAGATGCGGTGATTTTTACCACAAGCAATATTGCCTAGTAACACAGCTGACATTCCACCTTTACTAGATTTCGAGGAGAACAGAGCTAGAAAGTCAACTCCACAGAGAATGAGAAATAATTTTTTTTTTAGCCCTTTACATATATAGTCAGTGGTCAGAGCTAAGACATCATAATATAGATAGGTGACAGATGACAGTACAAAGGAAAAACTCCATTTTCCACCTATGTAGGGACAAACCCAGTTCTTCCCTAAACTATGTCCTTCTCTTCTGTGTGTCTCCTTTACTACTCAGACAAAACACTTCACTTCTGACACTTCTGGTCACACAACTGTGTGAAGGCTTTTCCCCCACCAGGTAAATTCTCTATGACACCAGCTGGGTGTCCTACAGTTTAACTCAATTCTCACACTATCTATTTGGAGATAACGTCAGATCCCACATGACAAGGGCTCAGTCCCACAAGACTGCCCCCCCTACCACCACCACCACCCCAACCCCACACTTCAGATGCGAGTCGCAAACCCCACCTGTCACCTGTGCTTCTCACTTACTGGCTATAGATAGGAGGTTCCAATAACCCCCTCCTTGGGTTCAGTTAATTTGCTAAAGCCACTCACAGAACTCAAAAACATTTTACTTACCAGATCACCAGTTTATTATAAAAGGATATGACTCTAGTGAAGAGCCGGATGGAAGAGATGCATAGGGCAAGGTATGGGGAAAGGGCACGGAGCTTCCGCGCCCTCTCAAGGTGTGCTATTCTCCCCAAATCTCCGCGTGTTCCCCAACCCGGAAGCTCTCCAAACCCTGCTCTTTTGAGTTTTTATGGAGTCTCCATTCCATTAGCCATTGGCAATTGATTTAACCGCCAGCACCTCTTCCCCTCCCAGAGGTCAGGGGATGGGACTGAACGTTCTAATCCTCTAATCACATGGTTGGCGCTCATGGCAAGCAAGCCCCTATCCTGAGGTAGGGTCCAAAAGTCACCTCATCAGCAAGACACCTTTATTGTTCTCATCAGTTAGGAAATTCCAAGGGTTTTAAGAGCTCTGTACCAGAAATGGGACAAAGACCAAATATATATTTCCTATTACAAATCACAGTAACATAGATTGGTAGAGACAGATGATGGAGAGAGACAGATGATTCACAGGGATTGATAGCTATGGATAAATAAAACACATTAGGAGTTCATATTGATACTTCCACTTCCAATACAGGATTATAAGGTTTTTACTTAACTTTGTTGACCTTCACCTCCACTTTCTTTCTCCCATGGTAAAAATCCCAGTTCTTATCACACACTTGTTTACTTATCACATGCTATGCATCCAACAGTCTTGAGATAAGAATACCAATGCTATCACTAACGATATAATGACTGAGAACAGTATAGGATATTTTTGTAGTTCTTTTTGTCCTTAGGGATGTATACAATCAAATCACTGTTTTAAAGTCACTAGCCAAAGTTCTCCTTTAGATAGTGACAAAGAACTCTAACTTGATACAAAGTTCATGTTGCTTTTAATTGTTTAGGGATTTATTTTTAACTTGCTCTATAATTATATAAACATTTTCATGGTTCCAAAGCCAAATCTACAAACAAAGTCGTTCAGGGAATCCTAGCTTCCGTCTCTTCAACCCTTTTCCCTTTCTTTTCCCATAGATAACAATTTATTTTTATTTTATGGTTTACCCTTCCTTTGTGAGTTTTTACTATAGTTTTAGTCCTTGTCTTAGGAAAACAGTAGCACATTATACACTTCTCTAGCAGAAAGCAGAGCAAAGGCCAGGGGCGGGGCTGTCACTGGAAGGCCAGAAGGAACATCACCCAGGGAAGCAGAGGAAGGAGCTGTGACAACCTCACAGGGCTCTTCTCAACTAGATGTATGTTCAGTCCCTTGTTCAAACTGATGGACTCAATGAAGTGGGGACTGAACTGGAGTTCTGTTCCTGGTCCCCAAGGATTATCCCCTCAGATGCCTACAAGGCCAGCAAAGAAAATAAATAAGTGACAAGGGCCAGGGAACACATGACCCATCTACAAGTGGCAGTTCCCATTGATTTTGGCCAGGTTCCAGAAATGCCTACATCCTCTGATTTTTTTTTTTCAAGAGAAGTTGGAAATCTGGATTTTTATGTAAAATTTTCCAATTGATCTCCTAGTTTGGCAAAGGCGTTTTTGGCAGTTGTATTCAAATCTCCCTGCAAAAACAGAGAAAATGCAGGGAACTGACCCCATTAAGGATTTGACTCAGGAAAATCCATGAGGTGTGTCCAGGCTCATGGCCCCTCCTCCAACCAGATCCATACCCGTGGCTTCAGAAGCCATATTCTCCCACCATCCAGCCTCCAATAACTCAAGGGAACATTCCTAGAGCTAGAATAGAACCTGACATTATTTTACCTTTGCTTCCTTTAAAACGGAGAGACAGTGGCCGTGAGCTGTAGTCTGCAAAGTGCAGTGAAAATGGGAAGTGTCATTCAACCTGTTCAAAAGTATGCGTTAAATTAACTGAATTGAATCATCTCCCTGGAATTTTATTAAAATTTTGGGAAATGGAGAGTAGCTAAAAATGTTTTTTCAAAGATAAGGAGAAAGTTAAAAATATTAAAATTATTATAATGTTACAACAACCAAAACAGTATAGTACTAATGCTGCAACAAACTGGCAAATCAACCCCTACTCTATGAATAAATCCAAACATACTTAAATACTTTATAAATAATAATAAAATAATCAGAAATCAACCAGAAAGGCATTAATTATTTAGTAAGTACCACTGGAAACTTGATCATTTGGGCAGAAAATCAACTGAGATATCCACCTTACACTATATGCCAAGATTAATTTAAGAACTAAATATAAATATTAGGGCCACACGAAAACCTGTCTCTGTTTAGAACAATTTCCTAAGCATAAAATCAGTGAAACACATATAAAAAAAAAACAATAAAAAAAAAACCGCTGATAGAGCTAAGTATAAAAAGAACTTTTTAACTCCTAGATTTTTAAATTCATAATTAAAATAAAAGTTAAACAACAAAATATGAGTGACAAATATAGCAAAGGGTAATACCTAAATATATAAATATTAATATTAAATACAAAGATCTCATATGGTTCAATAAGAAAACAAATCCCTAAAAAATAAGGCAAATATATAAATTGACATATCACAGAAGGAAAAAAAAACAAATGGCCAATACCTGTGACAATTTCTATAACGTCTTTAAAAATCAGAGACATGAAAATTAAAATGAAAAATAATTTTTTTGCCTGGAAATTAGCCAAGATTAAAAAGAGGATATATTCAGTGCCAGCAAAACTTGGGTGAGACTGGGTGTCTATTATATCACACAAGCATTGTAGAAATCAACTTGGTATTGGCGATTAGGAAAACTTGAAATGTTACTACCATACAGCCCAGAAATTGACCTTCTAGTAATGTACTCTAAGAAAATAATGAGAAATATGACCAGAAATTTAAGTACAAAGAGGCCTATCAAAATATTATTTAACATGATGGAAAAGTATAGTCATCCTGAATGACATACAATAGGGAAATAGATAAATAAATCATGATATAATCATAAAATGGAATATTATACAGTTTTGATTATTATATATGTTTACAACTCGTTTTTAGTAATGAAAAATGGAAGACATATAATCTTAAGTCATCCTTCCCCAAAGAGTTATATAGCACCTACCATGCGCTTGGTACTGCTCTAGGCATTTGGGATGCACACATCTTTGAACAAAACTGACAAGATCCTGCCTTCTTGGACCTTACATTGAGAGTGTGAGCGAGAGACACACAATAAACGATAAACACAAGAAATAAGAAAATTGTATAATAAGTTAAAGGTGATGTGTTGAAGAAAACAATACGAGAGCTGGATAGGGGAGCTGGAAGTGCTGAGGTCTGAGGGCAGGTTGCAGGGCTAAGCAGGCTCTAAGATTCTAAGGCATAGGGCAGAGGAGCCACACTGCGATCAAGAGGAGGAATACATCTATGTACAAAAGTATATCTATGACCTCCCCTGTGAAGTTCACATTTTAACTTCTGTGTTACATATATAGCCTGATGTAGATTCTTTATATAGCTCATCTATTTTCATAGAAAAAAATACACCAAAATGACAACAGTGACTCTCTGTGAAGGTGAAAGCGTGGTGATTTTTTATCTTTTTTATAATTTGCTGTATTTGCTAAATTTTATAACATGAGTAAGCCCAGTTTTATTATCGGGAATAAAACAATATATAATGTTACATGTTTTCAAAAGCAGAGTTAATCTACCCTTTACACCCAGGAAGTGCTTTCCCAAAGGGGCAAGGTGTGGTTTAAAGATGGTGTGGTGTCTCACCTGTCAGAGGAGACGGCGCTCTTCCACAAGGGGGCGCCTTGCCTTCAAGTAAGGAGCCGCCTGAGCCCTGAGCTTGGGTTGGATTTTTTTTTTCCATTTTATTTTTTCCTTTATTTTACTTACTTATTTATTCACTTATTGATTGATTAATTTATTTATTTTTATTATTAGTTTCAGGTGTGCAATCCAACATAGTGATTAGACATTTACACACCTCATAAAGTGATAGTCCCAACAAAGTCTACCACCCATCTGACACTACATCACTGTTATACTATTGACTATATTCCCTATGCTGTACTTTACACTCCGTGAATATATATATATATTTAATTATAGTTTACATTCAATATTTTATATTAGTTTCAGATCTACAGCATAGTGGTTAGGCATTTATATAATTTTGAAGTGATATCCCGTTAAGTTGGAATCGGATTTTAAGGTAGTGTGTAAAGGATAAATCTTGCATAGTTCCACCTCCAAGCATAAGAACTGTGCTCAGGGTGGCTCGAGAAAGCTTCTAGCCCTCTAATACTTGCCTCCTTGGTCAGTAATAATACAAAAGTCCATTTTCCCTTAAATCAATTAGCAAGTACAGTTTAACGAGGCTTGAGCTCAGCAGACACAAAAAAGAAGAACATGTTGCTTGTCCTTGGAGAATTAACCCAACCAGAGAGGCCCAACTCAGTTACCTTTTCATAGTGTAAATGCTGGGTGCGGAGGAGGAGGCATGGGGGGCAAGAGAAGATCTGGCAGACATTAATGCAGAGGCAAATGTGAGTCAGCAGGCTGGATGTTATCACATGCTTGAAAGATGGACGCATAAAGGAGGGAAGGGCCCCGGGAAGGAAGGCAGGTAGAGAGGGAAAGAGAGGTGGAGGCCAGGGTGTGTGCAGCAGTGCTGTGAAAAGCCTCTGACCCGAATGATGCCAGGGATTTTGCAACCTGATGACCCCATGGACCAGGTTACCAGGAATTGCGGTCCTGGCCCTGGTCTCACAAAATCTGACTTATCTGAAACCAAAGACCAAAGAGACGTCTGTGGCTCATGGAGCTGACGCAACTTGGCTTGTCAGTGTTTACTTACCTGGTCAGATGGACGCTGGATGCACCTTCACTGCCATCACCAGACTTGTTTCCCTGCATGCTTGTAAACACAGGGGGGCAGCCCCTGGCCAGAGGACTGGGGAGCCAAGGCAGACAAGAGAGGTTCTGGGGGTGAAATGTACCTTGTTCATCCCAACACACGATGCAATGGGAGGAGAGGAGAGGACCACCCAACCCAACTTGGGAGTCCGGGAAGACTTCCTGGAGGAGATGGTACTTGAGCTAGTCAGTAAGGACATATAGGAGTTTGAAAGGAGGAAAAGGTTCCAGGGAGAGGGAACAGCACAGGAGCGAGAGAGAATCTGACATCTGTCCATGCAAGCAGCTCGGCTAGGATGGAGCCTGGGGGTGATTGCCTGGCAGTGATGAGAGGTGAAGCTGGAGTGGAGACCACTTTAGCTGGAGGGCCATGGGAAGCCTTGAGGGTTTTAAACAGTGGAGTTACCTGATCACTGACATTGAAATTTGCTAAAGTCACCAGTGACCTTTGTGTTGCCAAATCCATTGCGTACTTTTCAATCTGCCTCTTACGTGAATTCTCTCGTAGCCTTTGGTGCTGCTGTCTCTCCCACCATCCTGCAGCATTCTCACATCTTGACTTCTTAGTCACCATGTTCTCCTGGCTTTCTGTCTACCTCTCTGGTCACTTTTCCTCAGCTTCCACATGGCCGCTCCTCCCCTGTCTGGCCTCTGAATGTTGATGTGCCACAGGACCCTGTCTTGGTCCCTTCTCACCATTCACTCTTGCTCTCAACTACCTCATTTATTCCCATGGCTTCACATGCATCTATAATATGCAATAGTGTCGGGAGAGCAGAGGATGCAGGAGCAAGCACAGGGTCACATTTCCTGGGTGTCAGTGCTGAGTGAGACTAGAAGGTTTGTGTTGAATCACGAGCACCTGTGGGATGAATCCAGGCAGACCGGGTAAGATTGAGGAGCTCAGGGATAAACAGAGGCATGTACCTGGAGTAGGAAGAGAGTTGCTAGTTAGTATAGTCAGTGTCCTGGATCTGAAAGAAAGCAGAATCCAGGGCTCACTGTTCCCAGGTAGAAGGGTCAACACTCTGCTGTGTGTTAAAAGACCAAGTCCAAGGTCTGAGAAGAATGTAAATGCAGGGAGGGTCAGGAAAGATGGGTAGGTCTACTAGGGCAAGCTGACTCCAAAGTCCGAGAAGTCCCTGAAGACTGGGATTCAGGCCAGAAGAGCAAGGCCAGATGGGGAAGTGGCCTCTGGCCTGGCTTAGATCTATCTCAGCTGCAGTATAGGCAGACAAGCATCCAAGGACATGCTTCCAGCCAGGGGACAAAGGCTTGGGGGCATTGGTGGGCCCCGAGTGCTATCCAGACCACACTGACACATCCATGGTGAGTTAGGGGAGTCATGAACCATTCCTGGTCCCTTCTGTTTTCCAACCTCACATGCCAACAGGACAAAGAGTTTCTCAAGGCACCAACATTACTGCCATTAACAAAGCCAATTCTTTTTGTGTCTCGTCAGGAATAAGGTTGCAATCAAGATTCAAAACAGTCTAAAGAAGTTTTTGTGACATTTGCAATTAGTAGGAACAAGTAGATTATTCAGTAAATGATGTTAGAATAACTGGCTATCCTTTTTTTTTTTAATTTAAGTTAGGGTCCTACCTTAACATCACACACAAAAATAAATCTGATAATTAGTAACTAATTAAAAACTTCCCACAAAGAAAAGCTCGGGCTCAGATAACTTCAGTGATGAATGCTACTAAATATTAAAAAAGAAAGAAAGAAAACTAATACTAATCCTTCACAAACTCTTCCAAAAAATATGAGTAAAGAATATTCCCCTGGGGCGGCCGAGTGGCGCATTGGTTAAGAGCTGGCTTGGGACGCCAGAGGGTCCCGGTTCGGATCCCACGTATGAGGGCCAGTGACACTGCCCTCTACAGCTAAGATGCTGAACAACAGCTCAACCTGGAGCTGGGCTGCTGTGAGTCTCCACGACTGCGTAGGCTGCCGTGAGCTACCGTAATTGGCTGGCAGCCAGCGTGAGCGGCCAGCAGCCGCCATGAGGCGGCCGTCCAGAAGCCAGCGACTGATCTGCCTCACCTGGGAAGAAGGCAATGATGGTGCCAACTTGGGCCAGTGAAGCAACGTCCTCCACAACTAGATTGGAGAACAAAAGGACAGCAACTTGTCTGTTCCCCTTCCCCCAATTCCCCAATAAAAATCTTTAAAATAAATAAATAAATAAATAAATAAATAAATAAAAATAAAAATAAAGAATATTCCCCAATTCATTCTATAAAGACAACCCACAGAATGGGAGAAAATACTTGCAAATCACATATCTGATAAGGTATTTGTATCTAGAATATATAAAGAACTCTTACAATTCAATAATAAAAAGACAACCCAATTTAAAAATGGGCAAAGGATCTGAATAGACATTTCTCCAATGAAGACATACAAACAGCCAGTATACACATGAAAATATCTCAACATCATTAGTCCTTAGGGAAATGGAAATCAAAATCACAAGGAAACACTATTCCATACTTACTAGGATGGCTAGAATGAAAGTAAAACAGGCAATAACAAGTATAGGGAAGGATGTGGAGAAACTGGGACCCTCGTACATTGTCAGTGAGAATGTAAAATGGTACAGCCACTGTGGAAGAGAAATTGGCAGTTCCTCAAAAAGTTAATATGGAGTTACCATATCACCCTCCTAGGTATATACCCAAAAGAACGGAAATCATACTTTCACACAAAATCCCATGCTAATGTATGTAGCAGCATCATTCGTAATAGCCAAAAGTAAAAACAAACCAAGTGTCTACTACGTGATGAATGGATAACCAAATTGTGGTATATGTATATAACGGAATATTAACTATTCACCACAAAACAAATGAAGTACTGATACATGGTACAACATGGATGAACCTTGAAAACATTATGCCAAATGAAAGAAGTCATTCACAAAAGACCACATACTGTATGAATCCATTATATGAAATGTCCAGAGTAGGCGAATCTAGAGACACAAAAAGTAGATTATTGGTTGCAGGCGCATTGAGAGGGGGTAAAGGTCAGAGAGTGACTGCTAATGAACATATAGGGTTTCTTTAGAGGAGGTGAAAATGTTCTGAAATTAGAGTGTGGAATGGTTGCACAAACCTATGAATATAATGAAAAAGCATTTCGTTGTACACTTTTAAAAGGGTAAATTGTATGGTATGTAAATTATATCAAAATTAAGCTGCTAAACAAATAAATCTGAGGTGGATTAAAGATATAAATGTAAAATAAACCTTAAGAATTAAAGGCAATATAGAATACTGGTTCAATAATTTTCATATGACAAAGGCCATTCTAAGTGGTACAAAACTCAGAATATATAAAGGATAACATTGACAAATTGAATACATTCAAATAATCTTCAATGTGAAAAGATGCTATAAAATTTTTAAATGTTTATGTAAACATATATAAATCATAAAGAACTTTTAAAACATATGTAACAAATATATTTAGAGAATGATCTTTGAGATCATTATGAAAAAGAAGAAGTCCCCAGTAGTACACAGTGCTGACCAGAGTGAGGGGCAAGTAGCATCCATGTGGAGAAACAATGAGTGTTAATTGGTGCAGCCATTTGCAGGGCCCTTTGGTATCCAGGAGTGACCTGCGACACATCTCCAATGTGTACGGCACAGTCTGAGTCAGAAGCACCCGCTGAGAAGAGCTGGCCAGCCGCACTGAGGCAGACAGGCTGACCGTCAGTCCTTGGGGGCATCTATCAGCATGTTCAGCATAAACATACTTTTGTCCAGGATGTCTATTTCTAGAATTGCATCCTCAGAAATGCAAAGGCACACAAAGAATGTTTGCTACAGTATATTTGTAATAGTAAACAATTAATGTCCACTCATAGGAAACTGGTTATGTAAATGACACATCTTCATCATCAGATGTGAGGCAGTCTTATTAAAAAAAAAAAAAAGCATAGGGCCAGCCAAGTGTCGCATTGGTTAAGAGCTGGCTTGGAGCGCCAGCTCTGAGCAGGAGGGCCCTGGTTTGGATGCCACATTAGGGCCAGTGATGCTGCGCCCTCTACAGCTAAGATGGTGAACAACAGCTCAACCTTGAGCTGGGCTGCTGTGAGTCGCCTGCGACAGCGTAGGCTGCAGTGAGGCTGCCGTAAGCTACCGTGAGTGGCTGGCAGCTGGCGTGAGCTGCCAAGAGCCGCCATGAACAGCCGTCCAATGGCCGGCGACTGATCTGCCTCACCTGGGAAGAGCTCAATGATAATACCAACATGGGCCAGTGAAGCGACGTCCTCCACAACTAGACTGAAGAGCAAAAGGACAGCGACTTGTCTGTTCCACTTCCCCAACACTGTTCCCCTCCCCCAATTCCCCAATAAAATCTTTAAGAAAAGAAAAGAAAAGCATAGCTCAAAAACTACACACAGGGCCGGCCAAGTGGCGCGATGGTTAAGAGCTGGCTTGGGACACCAGAGGGTCCCGGTTTGGATCCCACATATGAGGGCCAGTGACACTGCCCTCCACAGCTAAGATGCTGAACAACAGCTCAACCTGGAGCTGGGCTGCCATGAGTCGCT